TCCTTACGGGTCCCTTCCAACTCATCATATTCTGTGATTCTGTGAAGATGGTGATAAAAGAATCAAGAGGCTGTGTCATGAATATCTCACCAGGTCAAACAGAGCAAGCATGTTCCTGATGATGCTACCCTGCACACGCATAAAGCACCTACACCAGCTCATACTTAACACTTCAAAGTCAAGATGAGTAATTTCCAAAACTGGGGTGTCACAGAATTAAGAACTGCTTAAAGCAGTGACCCAAGCAAGGCAAAATAAATAGTATTAAAACCTAAAGTAACACAAATCAAAAGATGCAATTCCAACTAACTTAGAATTGAAAAGGTCAAAAAAATTCTGCGCAAAGACATATAACTGCATGCAGCCCACTAAAGATTTTTACTCAACCTGCAGAAGTAGCAAGACCTGAAATGAATGCATGGTGACTAAAACACACAATGCAAAATATGATCATTATACACTTCGGTAATGTATCCTTAATAAAAACACTGTATTCACTGTTCAGGTTGCAGAAAAGAGGAAATAGCTCAGTTCAGGGCCTAGCAACATGAATACATGAGGAACATAAGCAGTTTACGTCTTATACTAATAGTATGAGAGGTGAACAACAAGAAATGACACAAAAATACCTACATTAACAAGAAGTTCAAAAAGAACTGATTCAAAATTGTTTTCCATGTAAACAGTTAATTGTTTTATTTCATGTCTCCTCCCTGTGTTCCTCAACTTGATCTTTTAATGCTTAAGTCAAGTTTTTAACTAGGGTCAGACCTAGAATGACATTCTCCCTTCACGGGCAAGTCATTCCACAAGCAATGTGAAAGAACCGCCTTCCTTTAAGCATCACATACTAAACAATACCTAACTAAAGTAGTGGACTGAACTAACCTTAGTGCAGATGGTCAGAAAAGATAACAAGCATTTATGATTCTAACCTGGGTCTTAGAAGTTTAGGTGTTTGTCCATTCCAGATTTCAGGCACCCACTTAGTCAAATCTCTTAACCAGAATTTTCAACACTTCTAACATCTCTCATGTTTTGGGTGGAGGTTTCTTCATTTATTGGTTGTTATTTGGGTGGTGGTAGTGCTATTTTTTTAAAGAATAAATGTAAATGTAAAATCAAGCAATCGAATGCTTCAAGGCTACAGGTACCTCCAAAAACCAGTTTTCACATCTAAAATTTGCTTTCACCTTCTGATCATAAAAAGCTACTAAGGATAAACTGCTAGTATTTTGTTCTAAAGTCCTCAAAGACCAGGTGAAACAGCTGATATAAAACTGTCTATTTATTATGGCAAGTTAAGCTTTAAAATTAGACATCGCCATTGTAAATCATGTCTGTGCAGATTTACATTTAAGCACACATTCAGCTCCCAAATGCATTTGTATTCTCCTGCACTAAAATCTGAACAGCTTTCCATTTAGGGAGATCTCCAGTTTAACCTGTGACAAGTAGTTAAGATGTTGATGATGTTTTCATTCAAGCAGATGATGTAAGTTCATTTGAAAGAATAATCTTTAGGAAGAGCATAAGTTACTTCATATCTGAAATTATTTACATTTTTAAACTAAACATAGAGTAAAAAAGTTAAGTTATCAAAATGTTCCCTTTTTTTTTTGAGTCAACTTAAGTTTTAGTCTTCAATATGTGTAGTCTTCCTGAAAACTTAAGGTCAAAGTTATGGCTAAATACCATATCAGTATTAGATTTTTTCCCTTTGCATCAACTTTGTTGAATCACAAAATCATAGAATCATTTAGTGTAAGAAGTCCTCAAAACCCTCACACATTGCTTCTAAATAGCTTAATTTTTCAGAAGGTCATCAAATGAATCCCCAAGCAACTTCTTTGATGCCTTTCAGACATGTCTGGTTTTCTAGACAAACACATTATGACACCAGACCTACTCTCCAGATTAACAATGTTAGGCGATGAGGAAATGCACTAACCCTGAGCTGAGTGAGAATCAGCTAGATTGAATTAGCTTTAATTATAATCACTTTTGAGCCCTAAGTAATTTACAAATGAAAACTGACCTAAGCATTAAAACTATCATCACAACCCTTCCTTGGATTAAACACCACTTGTACTAACTATGCAGTTCTACTCTATTATTTACTAACTGCTTCCCTAACGAGAAGTTGGACTGCAGTTGCCCAGACCAGATGCTAACTCAGAAGATTCCTCAGCTCTAGTAAAATAAAACCAGCATTAAGAAGTATTGTTTCTGTCTGCAAAGTACTGTCTTCTGTGCAAGTGCCTGCTAGTACCACACAAATATCAAAGCAGTATCAATTCATGGAAAAACACAGAGCTGAAGTTCCACTGAATGTATATACCAATGCAGAAAAGCAAACAGGCATTGAAAGAACACCTGCATCTCCATTTTCTGCAACGTAATTCCTGAAGTTTCTTCAAAGAAGCAAGAACCAGATCCTTACTTTGAGATACACCACGTTTGCAGCTGTTTCACAAGAACCTTAACGTGAACTGGGTTACAACTACATTAACAAAAAGGTTAAGATACCACACACATGTCCATTATACCCCCTGGTCTACTGGAATAAACTGGCTTTCACCAAAGGATTGAAACAAAATTAAAAATAAAAGATTCTTAATTTATTCCCCCTGAGATTTTTCTCTATTAAAACTAATGTCCTCAAGCTATATTATTCCCTGAAGGAATACAGTCTCTGCCACAACAGGATAAGCTGTGTTACAATTGCTTCAACTTTTAGCTTAGTGAATCAACACCTTTTTACCAAATGTACAGGGTAAGCCAAAGTTTTCTTGAAGATATGGAGTTATGTACTGGAGAAAATGAAGACTCAGTTCTCACTCAGGGTTGTGAAAACTGTTGTTAAAGCTTCATGACATCCATGCCCACAGTGCTTTGGTTTCGTTCTCACTTGTGTGCCCGTACTCACTGTCAATTACACAAGAAGCCAAGAGAAAACCAGACTACCCATTTCCAGGATGCTCAGTAAGCAGGCCATCATAACTAGTACCCCACCTCCTTCCAGAAATAGTTTGTGAGGCAGGGGCTAGATGACACACAAGGGTGGCAGGAGCATTACTCTGCTGTACACAAAGACAGTGCTGCAGATCTGGCACTTTGGGCACTTCTTGCGACACTGGGCTGGCAGCATAGATGCAGCATGGTGCTTCTGCGTGCTTCCAGCCATCCCAAAACTTACTTCCTAGTCCTGTGCAAGTCAGAAAAGGACAAGGGGCTCTGAAAAACACCTGTGCACAGGACCATTATTCTACAATCCTCTGTCCTCAGAAACCAGAGCACATGATATGCAAGACCTGTCACAAAACAGAGAAAAAGTGGAGGGTAAGGAGACTGCTGATATATATCCCTCCCACAGGACTACGTGGGCCACATAAACGTAAGATCAGGTATCAATGGCTTATTATAAGCACTTAAAACAACATCTGAGGTACCTGAAGCCTGAGTGGCCTAAACTTTTGTCTGGTACAGAGGCATCCAAGTCACTCAAATTTCCATGGATACAGATTTTAAATTCTTATTTTGCTCTATGGATTAATATCATTTCTGTATTTACGAGGGACTGGAAGCCATTCAGCTTGTTTCAATCCAGGTACAGCGCTTTTCTCATTCTTTAAAGAGTACCATTGTAAAAGGGGCACAGCCGGAAGGCTACTAACAAGCTACTAACATTTTTGTCAGAAACTACCTACAGCAGTTCACAGCCTTAGGCCTTAGCTCTTAAGTTTCATTTCATGATTGTAATTAAAATTATCAGGCATTATCTCCTGCCAGATTAATGTAACATCTACCAGCAGATGTTAAAATCCCAAGAGGGGCTGAGCAGCAGAGTATTTGTCATACCTTGCACACACGGTGCCCACTTCTCCTACCCTCCTCAAATGAGTTAGAATGTGAAACACAGGTGTATCTCAATAGGGCTTCAAACACAAATGGACACGTACACAAATCTGCAGTATGCTTGGAGATGAATGGTGGAAGGTGCCGTGTTATTACTCTATCAGTCATTTTAAAAAGTTTTGTGTTTTGTTCTGCAAGTGAATGAGGAAAGTTTTTATTAATTATTGAAAGCCTCACAAGTATTGGCAGTGTAAGTCCCCTCATCATTTAATAGGGAGTAGATAAGAGTTTTATATGTAGGTAGATATTTATGAATGCTGAACACAAGACACTACTTCCACTTTTAGTTACTAAACCTTCCAGGTAGCTTCTTTGCCTTCTTTGGTGACAGGCTCATTTTGGATGATACTAGCTAGCAGACACCCGGAAAAGCGACATGTTGAACTCCCGAACACCGCTCTACCCTGAGGCAGGAAACGGGACTTGCTCGTCCTCTGGCTGAATCTCTGGGTCCCCCTGCCAGCAGCACAGCACAGCACACCCGAGCCGTGGCTCTCCACGGGAGCAGGAACAAGGCGCGGGAGGCGGCACAAGGCCACGACTCACAGCCATCGCCGCCGTCCCCCGCTCCGCCATGTGCGCGCACACGGCCCGGGCCCCCCACCGGCCCGGCCCCGAGACCCCCGCGCCCGGTCGGACACGCTCATCCGCTCCTCCTCCCCGCGCCGCTTTCCGGCCCCGCAGCCCTGCAGCTCCCCGGCCGCGCCGGGCAGGGCTCCGCTCTGCGCCCACGTGTTGCGGGGCCGACCCGCCTCCCCCCGGCCCGGCCAAGCCGCACGCCCCGGCCCGGCCCGGCCCCGGCGCTCCGCGGGCGCGGCGGAGGGGCGCGCGGGAGGCGGCGGGCAGCGCTCCGCGCCGCGGGCCTGGCCGAGCAGCGGCGCCGCCGCCCCGCGGGCCGCACGGGGGGAGCTCGGTGCGGCGCGGGCACCGCCGGCCCCCCGCGCCCCGCCAGCCGCGGGGCCCCGCTAGGCCGGGCCGGCCCCCGCGGGCTCCCCCCCCGCGGGAGCGAGGGCTCAGCGCCCCTTCCGTAGCCCCCCGCACTCCCGGCCCAGGGCGGCGGCGGCAGGAGCGCCCCGCGGTACCTGCGCGGCCCGCGGGCCCGGTGACTCAGGAGCAGCGAGGCGGAGGCGCCGCGCGGCCGGCGGTGAAAGGACCCGCGCTCCCGCCGCTCGCGCTCATATAGAATTAACGTCACCACGTAACCCCCTCCCCCGCGCGCCCCGCGTCTCGTGGCAACGCGCGCGCCCTCGCGCCGCCCGTTGGCCGAGGACGGTTGGGCCCGAGCGGCGGCGGCGCGCGCGGAGCCGCCCCGGTGCCACCCTCGGGCCGCGTGTCCGGAGCCACCTCCGGGACGTGTGGCCGCGCACGTACCGGCCCCGGCCCTGGCCCCGCCCGGGGGGAAGGTGCCCACACGGCGGGGCACCCGCCCGCCGATCCGCCGGCAGCTGCCGCCCCGCCCGGGGAACTGCAGCGCCTCCGCCCCGGCGGACCTGCCCGCGAGTCAGGGTGTGATGCTACCCCGACCACTTGGGTGCTGCCTTAAACCCGAACTCGGGGGGTTTCTGAGGGCATCTGACCAGAAGTAGAAGTTACTGGGACAGGTAAACCCTGTTCACACAGGCTACAGGTACCATAAAACCACAGTCAGCATTCGCTGACCAAGCGGAGCACCGTGGTGGTTCAAACCTTCATTGATCAGAGTTTCGACCATTCCTGCCTTGGCCGAGATGGGCAGACAAGGCAGCAACAGCTTCAACCCTCCCATTTTAACTTGCCATACTTGCCTACCAGAGTCCTGTTTCCTGACAAATGCCTGATTGTGAGCTCCAAGCAAAGCCTTCCCTAAAACTGGTTCTAGGGTTTCTCCCCCATACTCATAGTCTTGAGTAATAGCACGGAGCATACTTGGAGAAGACATCTGTGATCTACACTGAACTTAGAGAAATGTCTTTGAGACTTCTGGCTTCCCTTGGCTGGAATGATCCAATGATTTCAAGTATGATTAGGTGGGATGGTCAGACACATAGTGTGATGGATAAGAGCAGTTTGCTGAGGATATATTGCGTAATATTTAATGGGTATTCTTCAGAATTTACCAAGTTCTTCCATCTGCTTGTCTAAAGCAGTCTGCTGTATAAATGTAGCTACTTAAATAATGAAAGTGACAACAGAAAGCAAAGCAAGAAGAAAAATGGTGGATCTGCCTAGTATCTGCAACACAATCTATGTTAAGAACAAGCAAAATACAAAGGTTCCTATTCTGCACTGCATGGTGCCACACTAATTTTGTTCCAGTGTTTGGCAGTAAAATCTCAGCCCTCGAAAGTGGATGTGTTTGTGGCAAAGAAATCCCATCTGCAACACAGAAGTTTATGAAAAGAACTTAAGAATGCCCTATTCCCCAGCACAGTGAATTTCAGAAGGTGGGCTTTTTTATATCATGCAATTTTAAAAAATGTAAAGAGGAAAAAGAAGGATCCTGGAAAAAGGTTGCACAGCAGAATCCAAGTGATAAGAATTAGGGAGAAACAGGGATGCAGATGCTATATGATTCTAAAATTAAAGTAATTGTACCCCCCTTGCAACCCTCAGATTTTAAAATTGTGCTAGGTACTAATGTCTTATTTATCCGAGGTGTTCAGTGCTAGGGAATATGAAGAGGACAGTGATGTACAGAAGGCATCTGGTGAAAATTAGCAGTCAAATGCTTTTATTGCAACACAAATTATATGCTATTGCAGGTGTTCTCTTTATTCAATCAGCTAAAGTAGCAATCAACTGTAAAGAAGTGATTCACAAGGCAGTGGCTCACCTTGCTTGTCTTTCTGAGGTCTACCACCTGAAGTGGCACCCAGTGACCCCTCTGAAGTAGTACAGAAGAAATGGGATGTGCAGAAGCCAGCAGTGTGGAGTAGAGAGGACAAGCCAGTCAACAGCTGTGCCAAGGAGTGGGCACAGATCTAAGCACGTCTAAGCTGGAAATGTGCCTCTAGGCTGGAGGGAAATGCCTTTTCATCCCAAATTCAGAGATGTCTTTTAGGGGTTTTGCATTAGTCAAGTAAGTTTACCCCTTCTCATGAGACCAAATAAAACCAAAGTCCTTATACTAGGGCTTTTAAGGAGTTTTTGAAGAACAGTTATGGAAACATTTTTCAATAAGAAGCAGTTTTTGTCAACAACTAAGTAGAAAGGGACAAGGAAGAGAACATAAGGACATTGCTCCTGCTTCCACGTGGCACCTGCCATCACACATGTATGGAAAAAGGAAAAGACCAGCTTATTTCTTACAATACCTGAACTGTATGCACATGCAAGCTTTCTAATTTGGGTTGTTTTGCTGTCAAAACAGTTCAACTTATCCTGACATTTGTACAGTCATGAAAATGATATAAAGAAACTTCAGTTAGACTTGAGTTTTAATGGCCCATACATTTTTTTTGTTTGTTTCCTGTGTGTTTCCCATGAGCATACTCAGAACTATTTGTTTCAGCCTGTCTGGATCATTGAAGTACTGTCATGGGATTGCACAAAACATCAAACACCATTGTTTGAATAATGAGAATCAAATCACCTGAGAATGCATTAGATATTGACACAGGTATATTTTCCTCATAAACATGTTATTTTTTAAAAATATTACATCTTGTAGCTTTTTTAAAAGACTTAGAACACATTTGTAAGAAATGTGCAGGTGTGGTCACTGAAAGCCCAGAGACACACCATTTTCTCCAAGCTGAAAGAACTTGGCACTAGGAGAACTGCTCTATGGCATAGTAGCTGGGGTTTGTCTCCCGAGGACTGTGACTTGAGGTCAAATTGCTGCTCCAAACCGGGGAAGAAAAGTTTGAACCGGGTCCCTCACATGCTAGTTGAGTGTCTTACTCATGGAGCTGTACCACAGCAGGGAATCTAACCTCTCCCTTGGGTGCAAAGGCCTTATCAGCAATGCTCACTTTTGGGTCCTTCCCACTGATTTATATGTTGGCTGTGGAGGGGGGCTCAGGCAGGTGCTGTCTTCAGGCAGGGGCCTGGACGGCACTCAAGGACAGAGCACAGCCCTGGGTTTGTATGTGGAGGAGTCTGAAGGTCAAGCACTGGTGATGTTACAGGAGACTAAACCAGTATTTCTCTAACAGCCTGTTGCAACAAGTGAGTTTGGCATTCAGATCCAGGCTCAATCTTGCTAAGCACAGTATGCATCCAATGTGGTTGAGCTGCATTCAGGCTACAGCTAAGCTAAAGCAACAGTGCCTTAGCTTAGGAAAATGTGTTGGTCATGGAGCTTGATATGCTTACTTTGGATCAAGAACTCCACTGTGGCAGGCGATTCCTTGAACATTTAAGCTCTTTTCAGCCTTTTTTGTACTAATAGAAAAATGCAAAAATCCTTTGTATGAACATGTATCTGATTACCTGAACACCTAGACACCCCTTCAGACTACTAGGCCAGGCTTGGCACCTACTAAAGGCTCAGTTTTACAGGATTCACATCCCACTCAACACTGCAAACCTGCAATGTATGAAAAGCTATGAATATACATTCTTTTCTGATCATAGCTGATTTCAGATTAGCTCACCCCTGACAGTTTTCCAAAGTGCCAGTTGCCTAATGTCACCCTCTCCTGAAATCTCTTTGGCAATGCTCCTCATGTGAGCACTGAGTTACAGCAATGGATGATATGAGTGCTCCTTGTCTGCTCCTGTCTTTGGTAGCTGGCTGAGCTACAATTACCATGGAAGTTATCATTAGTCGCTGAAAATGAGAACGCTCACTGAACTATTTACAGAGTAAAAACCCCAAGTACCACAAAGAGATGCCTTTTCCTTGGTACAGTTTCAAACCCCAGTGAAACCCTGTGCGGAAGTACTAGGCTTATCAGTACACGATGAAAACAGAGAATCCAGAGTATTCCTTTTAAAAGTGTGGATTGCTTTCTTATGGCTAAAAACAATTATTTCAACATGGCTGAAAGCAATCATTTCAACTCTTACTGAATGATTATTCCAAGTTACATGACTAGAATGTAACAGCACAAAGCTGATTAGTTTTTTCATGTACTGGTTACTTTTTGAGGAGCTACTTGTTTTATGAAGGAAAGTACATCATTCCACAAACAAGTCATAGTTTATAAACAGTACCACAGGCAGCACAGAAAGTTCTGCTGAACTATCACATGACAAATCATGCAAATCCCCCTGTAGAGCTGAGTGAACACCTCTCTCGGATTTCTGGTTTGCACTTGCTTCTGCTTTTGTGAAAAGAGAGCAAATTTTCCCTTGGGGAACACATTTGCAGGAAGGGATAGCAGCAACTAAAGAAATACAGCATGTGTAACAATTGACACACTGTAATAAAAGGCAAATAAAAGTTACATTTTTTGAAAAAAGTGAAATGCTGAAATGAGATTATATATTTTTTGATACAATAAATCTTTAACGTCTTTCATTTCTCAATATTTTTAACTGTCCACAGACTAAATCATGACTCTTGTCTTACATTAGAGGGATTGCTCATAGATACAGAAAGTATAAACCAAATAGAAAGAAAGAAAGAAAGAAAAAATCAAAATCAAAAAAACATGAACTTAGGGGAGAGATAAAGAAAATAGGGGCATAAAAGTAAATGATTCAGATGTTTTGAAATCAATGAACAAATGTATATACAAGTACTTTAGAGGTAGTACAGAAGGTAAAATCTCAAGTACAGTGCACTTGGTGTTTTTTAGGGTCATTGCTAGGGGCTAGAACTCACTGAAGTTTGGGGTTTTTTTAAATATTGCACTTACTGTGAAATTTTGAGGAAAAAAAGCAACAGTGGTAACTGAAATGTCACTGTAGAATAGACTTTAAAGAAGCTGTATGAGGAAACTGATGAATTATTAAATCATTACATTAGAACATCTTTTTATAATGTATATAAATTAGTTAAGTAATTAAAAAAAATACATTCAGTAGAATTGATATGTATCTCTTGTAGTGCCTGCAATTGTTCCTAATGTATCTAACTCTAACACAACAGCAAAATTATGTCCAGAGGGATTTTTGTTTCTAGTATTATTGGTCATTTGACTTGATAAAATAAAATGCCAAGAAAATTGATAGTTATAGTCAAGGGGTTTGCTTTGGTCTCATAAGGATGTAAGTAATATATTGCCTAAAGGGTGCCCAATACCTTACACATGAAAGGATAAAGCTCACTCCCTTAAA